CCCGTTAGCACCCAAGTTTCACTGATTTTCGCGGTTTGCGCGATTCACGCGATTTGCGCGAAACCGTGTGTGGACATTTGAAATACTGAATATGAAACCAGTGGCCGATGTCAGACTTTGCGATTGGAGCGATTTTGCAAATGCAGGAGCGGCGGATTGCTCAATCGGTGAATCGTCGCGTGAATCGCGCAAATCGCGTGGATCGCGCAAATCAGCGAAACCTGCGACGGATCGCGGATTCTGACACCAGCCCAAGGAGAGAGGTGAGAGCCCTGGGACTGATCATAAGCCCTGTAAGGGAGAGGAACTCCGAGCTGGGTAAGCCAACTAGTGTGGCTAAAGTTTGAATGTGTGAGATCACAGTGGTCGTGAGCCGCTGATAAGAGGCCGTATGCTGAATGTTGGGGATGGGACGGGGATGGGGAAGGTTGGGGAGGTTCGTCGCAGGACCCACTGGGCAACGGTCGCACCTTTGATTTTGCAGCTTTGTTTCCATTCTTTTACTGTTCCTGATTGTATATTCGCTCGTCAATACCTTTCTTCATCCAAAAACAGCGATGAAAGAATGGAAACAAAGCTGCAAAATCAAAGGTGCGGCCGTTGCCCAGTGGGTCCTGCGACGAACCTCCCCAACCTTTTCCATCCCCCCCCTCCCCAACATTCAGCATACGGCCTAAGGTGAGAGAGCGCAGACAAAAGTGCCTAGTGAGGCAGCTTAAAGGATCGAGTCCAAGTAGTTCGTCGACCCCTCCTGATTCCAAGCTGAGCTTGGGAGAGACAGGGTTGCACCACAGACCCGCCACTGAACGCGCGATGTTGTAGCTACCTCCCTCGTGGCACCAATCTCTTCTCTGAGGGGTCGCACTGTCTGAGGTCTGGGAACGCAGTATGGCTGATCCATGACGCAACCCTGTCTCCCCTAAGCTTTGGAGAAAATCAGCGGCGGGGACACGTCCCCCTAAAAAAGGATAGGATATGGCCCGTGGATCCCTTTGGGACTAGGTGAGAAAAATTTCAAAAAAGTGCGAACTGTGGTTGACCCGTTTAGATGTCAAATGAGTGAAGAGGTCTGTAACTGAGACTGAAGTCTCTTATTCTACGTCTTACTGGTAATATGTCAGCTTGCTCGAGAGGGCGAAGTTATTTTCTTTTCTTTTTGCATCATTTTTACGTCTTGTAGTAGTCTTTTACCATCGGGCTCTATCAATTGCAATGGTCTGCTGTTTTTGTCAACTGAATTTTCGTTTCATAGGAATAATGGAAAGCGAAATTAAACCGTCGTTGAAACGCCCTCTGTCCTTCTCTGACGACAGCTTCGAATGGGATTGTGTTCGCGACGAAAATCCAACTGAAGGTGAGATTATGAAACGGAGTTCACCGTACGCCACCAGCGTTTTTCCGTCTTTCAGCTTCGTTTCTTTTTTCTTTTCCTTTTTATGTAGTTCATCTCTCATTTCCAAGCAAAGCAAATGGCACTGTTCAATTACTGCAACCCAATAAACTCAATATTTTTGTCTTTATACACTTCCATTCAATGTTCACACGGTACCGTCACGCTCGTTTTTTTTTGAAATTTCTGCAACCCCCCTCTCAAGGGCTCCAAGATGTGATTCGTTAGGATAGGAAGCCATTTTTTGTATTCCGCAGCGCGAACTTTTTTCCGCTCTGGGAACCTTAGGCCCTCCCCTAATCATTGAGTGAATCTGGGGTTCTTTTAACGAAGTTTCGCGCGCGAAATGAGGAAAAGTCGCTTTCTGACCTAGTGACTCACATCGGGGTCCGGGTACGACCTTTCGGTTGCGGTTTAAAACCTTTTTACAAAATCGCATGACGTGTCTGGCCCACCTGAGTTCGATTCCTTGGCGAAAACGGCAGCGTCCCTGATCTTCGATCGTTGGCGTAGTTCGGCACTCCGGATTCCCCTCTGCACTTGCGTGTATAGGGTTACTCCTAGCATCGTCCTCTCGACAGCGCGTTGGATAACGCTGACTGCATGCTCGTCCTGCCTGCGCGGAGTCCAAGTCTCTGAGGAC